CGTACTTATCAGAAAATGATCACAACGCGATGGCGTGCCCTGGCTGACACACGCTGGGAGACGTTGGCAGACTCTGGACCTATATTTATACTTTCACGGTCGCTGACGCTGCCTCGAAACGCTAGTGGACGGTGCTACAAAGTATGAACCCAGCCTTACTGACTCAGGAGGTTCTGCAGGAATCCACTCTTCGCTATTGCGCTGAGACAGCGCAGTCTCCAACCCCTAGGATCGAATTTGCTGTTCAAAACAGTTTTTGCAGACTTGGAAACACGATGTTCGGCATTAAGAAGCTAGCTTACCAATTCGGCAGAGCTGTCGGATACACGGATCCAACGGCACTTCCTCAACAAGTTCAAGCTCGCTGTCAAGATTGTGAGGGATACAGAGTGAGGCTAACAAGTTATCTATCATCAAGCCAGTTACGCTAGATGGCTACCAGAATACTTCCCTTCTGCCGATTCTAGGCGGCTTTGATTGAAGCTTGCGAAGCGTTACTACAGATCATGCAAGGCAATCCTGCCCATACACCAGCAGTTAATTCAACTCAGGTACGCGATGTTCAGCTCAGTGCATATCCCGCAATTGCAGTACGGAGATCACGGGTTCAAGAGCAGAAATGTCAGCGTTAAGTGACTTGCAACCATAGAAGGAGACATGAAACTGATCCCAATAAAACCCCTTCTCGCAGTCGTAATAGCTTAAGAAGTACGAGCATAACATGATAAACAGCAAGACGTGGGGAGTCATACCCCGGAAAACAAGCATAAGGATATCATCTCCACGAGTAAGGCAAACTGTCCCGAAGAGACCTCGTAGGCCCAGGCGATACGCTTGCAGTCCGCTTTCTATACACGTCAGGCCGAAAGACAATTCCCTGGCGCTTTCGGATCCAAATTACTTACTTGAGGACTTTAGGGATTCCCTTTGATCTCGGGGAGTCTCCTCATATGTGAAGTCAGAATCTTTTGCATTACTGTTGAGCTTTCATGTCATTTGGAAGTCTTCTTGAGAAGAAGTTCCCTCAATTACAGCAATGCGAATGCCCACCAGGCACAGCACCAAGTGAGATGTTTGACAAGAGCTTGGACAATATGAAAGGCTTTTGGTACGATGAGGAGGTGAGAACATTAATACAGATTTTTTGGAAGTATTACTGGGCGCAGTTCGGCGACGAGGGGAGGGCATTTTGCACTTTTGCTGCTTCCCATCGACGTGTCGACCTATCTAGACAGCCTCTTCTCGAGTTGACAGGTTTTACCATGACGGCTTGAAGACCTTACTCTAGCTTCACAAGAGTTTACAGGTTTTAACCAGAGTGAGACCTTGTTAAAAGCGGAGTCGAGGTGAAGCAACGAAAAAGGATAATACCAGGCAAGAAATGCACCAGTAACAAGCGGCGCCTCCAGTCGGAACAGAGAGATATAGCGACAAGATATGGTATTAGCTGAACCCTGAAGTGTGACCAATAACGAATTGAGAGAATGTAATTCCTGCCACTCGAATCATGCTCTCCTGATGCCATAGGTCGTTGATTATTGAGCACGTCCAGCGCTCAACAAGCGAGGCCGTCACGCGCGCATGGCTGACGAAATATTTAGACGGTTTCAGTCCTAAGTTGTTGACGGTTAAAATCTCTCTCATTCCCACATGGGATGTAGAGACCGAAATACACGGACGCTCTAGCATAATATAAGGCGACAAGAATGTAATGGCCCAGAAAACATGTGAGTAAGTTGCCGCAATAAAAAATTGAACCAAAACTAATAGTGTTCATGGAAAAGCAAAAAAGGACTAGTTACCTGCGCGAACTGCGGCTGACAATCTGAGGAGATAGCCGAAGGCAAAAACTAATAAAATGATAACAGCGTGGCCCGTTGACGGACCGCCCTTAATCAACTGCCGGATGCGAGGCTCCATGTAGGTATGTACAACTAGAGAACTGTGGTGCCATGCATTGATCAACCAGGGGAGGATTTCTGCAGTTGCGCTGCGTGCATGGCGTTGGAGCAAATCATTCCGGCACAATCTGCGCAACAGTAACTAATCCCCGATAATAAACAGCCATGACTTCCTTAGAGCAGGCCACTGGGGAAAAGAAAAACGTTTGTGAATTCCCTCGATGAGTACAGGAATAGCCATGAACGTTTTCATTCCAAGAAATGCATTATTGCACAGAGATTTTGAAAATTATGTGCAAGTTTTTCTGCTCCGAACAACGACAATTTTCTTCGTGCGACTGCTTGCAAAGTTCAGAAAGCTGTGAGCAGTCGAAGGCTCAGGCTTCTTTTCAAAAGCTGCCTAATCTTATAGACATATGCGACATATATATGAGACATATGCGTGAGGAACTTTAGAGGAACCTCCCTGCTTGTTCGAAAACCATGTTCCATTACGCCTTTGCGAAAGCACTCGTAAAGGGACTTAAATACGCTTCAAGAGCGCATCTCCAAGTACAAAGAGAATTGGGAGACGGTTCGTTTAGCGCCGAATGGCCTCATTCCCGGAAGTACCCTTCATTACGCTTCCATGAAGAGATGGTGGAAAAGGGTACTTCTACGCAGCGCCTGTGCATGGAAGCAGATGTGTCTCTAGGCTGGAACGTCTATACCCAACCGAAAAATCTCGCTATGTTGCGCTATTTAGACATCCATGTTTTTACGGATACAAGCTGTCTGGCTGATAGAGTTAGTCAATTTGCGGTTTTATGATGCTTTTCACCGCGGACTCTCTGTAGCGCGAATTCCACGCTCAACTTAACGATGCTGACATTTTTGTGCTAATCATTGCTTATTGGCTCTCCGCTTACAACCTCTCTTCATTCAGCAG